CCGTTTTAGGGGGGCATGGCAGAGTCTTAACTTTGATAAAGATTATCTCTTTGGTTTTGAGACTTTAGTCTTTGCAACGTCAGGGATCTTATCTATGCACAATCAGCTTGTAACACTCCAAAGAGAAAGGAAAACTTGAAATCGCATCATATGACCCCTTTAAAATGAATCACGCAATGCGATTTACTAACGTTCGCGCTCGTCAAATTACTGGTATTTGCGCCATTATTTAATGCCCAAAAAAAGCACGTCTTAAAGCAGGCGGTAATTTGCGCTGCTCTTGGTAGATTGCGCAGGTTATTATGGAAATGATCTGGCTGCGTCTGTGTTCTTTAATGTGCGCATTGTTAGTAAGCCACCCGCAGAATTTTCCCCACCCATCGGCGCTTTTATGGAATTGCGCTCTAATGCTAATTTGCCCTGTTTAGTAAATCTGGCCCTGAAAGGGTTAGTTCATCCAAAAATGAAAATTCTGTCATTAATTACTCACCCTCATGTCGTTTCAAACCCGTAAGACCTCCGTTCGTCTTCGGAACACAAATTAAGATATTTTTGAAGCATTCTGACAGCTCTCTGATCCTCCCATAGACAGCAATGTAATTACCACAATCAAGGTCCAGAGACGTAGCACGGAGATCGGTACAATAATCCATGTGACATCAGGCGTTCAACCGTAATTTTACGAAGCTACGAGAATACTTTTTGTACGCAAAGAAAACAAAAATAACGACTTTATTTAACAATTCATCTCCTCCGCGTCACCCTGGTGCCATTTTGGAGAGTATCCACTGAACGCAAACAGCGTATGCTCTTCTGTGTCAGCTGCGCCATGCGGATACGTTGTTTTCGTTCAAATCAAAGAGTAAACAACGTAGAAAACGTATCCGCGTGGCGTGGAATAAAGTCGTTATTTTTGTTTTCCTTGCGTACAAAAAGTATTCTCGTAGCTTCGTAAAATTACGGTTGAACCTGATGTCACATGGATTATTTTACCGATCTCCTTGCTACGTTTCTGGACCTTGATCGTGTAAGGATCCTTGCTGTCTATGGGAGGGTCAGAGAGCTGTCAGAATGCATAAAAAAATATCTTAATTTGTGTTCCGAAGACGCACGGAGGTCTTACGGGTTTAGAACGACATGAGGGTGAGTAATTAATGACAGAATTTTCATTTTTGGGTGAACTAACCCTTTAATGTAATTTTAGTCAAATTCTCTTAAATTTACAGGGGGGGGTTTTTGTAAGGGAAAAACAAATCGTCTTTTAAGATATTTTTAAAATATATATATATTTTAAGATATATTTTTAAAATATATCTTTTGTTTTGAGTAAGGCATCTTGAGGTTTGCACTTTAATCTTGTTGTAAAATTCTGACTCCCATTCTGATAATTTACAGTGAAAAACCATATATTCCAAGAATTCACATTTGATGGTTTTTCACATAAGTAACCGTTTCGGTCTTTGTTTTTTTCTTATCAGTTATGTACATTATGGTTTATGTCACAATGTATGTCATTAAATTAATGGTTGCATTATTTTTGTGTTATATGTGTTATCATGATGGTGTTTAGTATTTGTGTGAATGACACTGTGTGAATCTGTTATATATTACTAGTTACCTCAGGTTTTGCAAAAGCTATGTGTGATGAGCTTTGATTCATCATATGGCTCTCATTACCATGTGCATTTTTGATGGTTGTCAATGTGCATTATAAAGATAAAAAAGAGATTTTAGTACTTCAATAGGTTGATAAAAAGTAAAAAAGTGAAAACCTAAAATGTTGCTACTGTATTTTTCACGGTAAAGTTCTGTTAACCACAGCTGCAGTTTTTTAACTATGTATGTTACCCAATAGATTTTTATATACAACATGTAATTGAATGCGTCTAATTAGTGACTATACATTAAACCCACATGAGACGTGAGCAGGTGTCTGTTTATTCCACAGAAGTTTGCAACCTCAAAAGGATGCATGAGCAAAATAAAGATGAGCCATTGAGGATGGCTCTACAGAAATGAGTAACAGTGCAGGCACGCAGCACAGATTGGGAAAAATAAACGGCAAAGCTTGGCTGCAACTCACTTGCATGTCTGACAGACTTTGCACTCGGGGCACTGCCAGCCTGTCCTCTTCAGAGGAGTGACGCTGATGTCCAGACACATGCCGTGGTAGTGCAACCCACAGCTGGTGCAAAAAAGCTGGTCCAGGAGATCCCCGGGGCTGTCGCACAATATACAGTTCGCCTCTTCTTCAACTGAGAGAAAGAAAGAAGAGCGGAAAATCAACGTGAACCTCATTTACCATTTAAATCCAAGGTCCTAGTGTACTTGTGAACTATTAGTGCACATTATGCCCACTTTACATGACCTAATCCAATTTCCAATTACTTTTATAATTTAATTAAATAATTAATTAATTATATTAAACATCCAATTAAATATCCATTATTGATATGATAAATAAACCAATATGTACTGTGAATCCTTACTCTAAAGGAATTTTTAATACAGGCATATTTTTATGTTGTCTGTTCACCAGTGAGATCCTTTGTGATTTTCGAAACAACAAAAACATCCAGAAGATTCAGAATAAGAAAGATTTTTTTGACAATTAAAAATCCAAAATAATTTTAAAAATTGTGATGAGTATCAAATAGAGGCGATTGACATGCTACCAAAGTAAATGTTAGTGGTCATACACTGTGTTATACTTTTGTTCATCAGGGATGCATAAATTGATCAAAAATTCTGATAAAGATATTATAAAGTCGCAAAAGATTTCAGTTTTCAAAATGCTGTTCTTTTGAACATTCTATTCAGTGAATCCTGAAAAAAGTAGCACAGTTTCCACAAAAACTTTAAGCAGTTAACATTGATAATAATCAGAAATGTTTCTTGAGCAGCAAATCAGCATATTAAAATGATTTCTGAAGGCTCATGTGACACTGAAGACTGGAGTAATGATGCTGACAATTCAGCTGTGCATCACAGTAATCAATTACATTCATAAATATAATAAAGTAGAAAACAGTGATTTTAAATTCTAATACTATTTCACAATAAGACATAAGTTTTACAGCATTTCTATAAAAAAAAAAGTCTCTTCAATGTCTCCTTTGAACTTTCCAATGATAAATTTATCAATTTAATTGGAATGAATTTTTTTTGTGGCTGAGTATTAGTATCAACACTCTTTTTAAAAAGGGGTCTCGAGTCAGTTTTTATAGTACATCAAGGTCTCGCTTTGAAAGAGTGCATAAAAAGACCAAAAAATAAAGACGGTTCTCACATTTGCTGACGGCCAGCTCAATGTGCTCTGTGCACAGGACAGAGCGCCTCCTGAAGTCCTGAAAGGTGCCGGCGGCCCCCGCGCAGGGGTAATGGTACGAGCGATCACACCCCTCCTCACAGCACTTGATGGATGCTCCAAGGCGCTTACAATATGCACAATGCTATAAAAGAAAAGAGTCACACTGATGAGACACTGACGAAGCAGACTCCAGTTTTGATGTTAAAACCCATCAATTATTTTAAACACAGACTATATTGCTTAATTGAAACCTCACATGCATTAACTGCTCGTCACATCATTATCATTCAAGCTTAAATATCTGGCAACTAATATTAAACCAAACAAATCTATACAATGAGACATGAAAGCTGACAGTGTAAAGCCTGTGGTCAGACTAACAGCTAGGGAGAGCTGTGACATAAACCACAATGATGACAGACTGACGGATGTGTAATTATCTCATCATGCCTGTAATCTCCCACAGACCACAGACGAGAGGGCCAATTCACGAAACGGTATCTCAGCACCATGTATTGAAATTAAGTCATCGTCATCTAGATGTGCAGTAAAGTCAAGTGCACTTGAGAGCAGAGTCAGGTGTGTGAACGAGAATGATGCAGTCACAGTAAAGTACAGCAGATTACAGTAATCTGCTGCATTCTTCATAGAAATGTGCTCAGAATCGGCTTGCAAACTGGGAACTGCGCTGTGCAACACTAATTTGGGGGTGTGGGGTCTTTGTGGAGGCCTTTATACAGATTTGCATAATTCTTTTAGTGAACTGGGAGTTAAAACAACTCAGACAGAATGTATAAACGAACAATGTTATCAGCAATTCATCTCTAGTCCATACTTATCAAACTCTTATCATATTTAAAGTCTTACCATACTTCAAAGTAAATGTACATTTTCATTTCATTTCAACTATCCCTTACATCATACTTTTCAACAAACCCTCAGCATTAGTGTTTTCATAATACTGGTACTTCTCATATTATACCTAGGATAAATATCAATATTTAATACCACGGGGAAACAAGTGCCACAAAATTAAGGCCATAAAATTTGAATAGTATCATGGTTACTTTACTTTTCACCATTTTCAACTGAAATTCTGCTGTCTGAAATTCTTCATACCTAATAGCTCTTAGTGGTATCATATAATAATAATAATTTTCTTATTAATTATTATTTCTAAGAGAAATATATTAATATTAAATTACAATTGCTCAGTAAAATCTAAATGTATTATTTCATCTTATTATGTTACTAGTAATTAGTGAAATATACAATACTTATGATTTATTTCAAGAGTTAAACATTCAAGCTTTTATTATGGCAGTAAAGTGCAGTGAGACATTTGTGTCTGTGATAAGACTAAAACAAATTCTCATTACAAATCTGCAAATGCGGTAATCATCTGTTAAACATTAACAGTAATATGACATAATTCTATAATATATAAAACTAAGTTCGAAGTTGAATTTCTACAAAAACAAAAAACTAAGATGAAAATGACCAGTGTTGTTAGAATTTACTAAAACTATTTAAATAGTTTTGTTAACGGAAATTAATACAATAAAATATAACAATTAGATGAAAAACTTACATTTAAATTAGAAACGCTAACTGAAACAAACATGTTGAAGATGAAGTACTAAAATAATTAAAACTACAAATAGAAATAAAATAATAATAATAAAGCAAAACAGAAATGTCCAAAAAAAAAAAAAACGATTGGACTGTGAAAATAAAATTGAACTGGTGCATACTGTGTTCCCAAACGCACATGCAGAGATAGAGTTAACAGAGCTGTTCTGAGATGCTGAAATCACTGGATCTTGATCTGGTTGCATGTGAGAACACAGTGACACGCTTCACTCTAAAACACTCTGAAGCACAATGAACTATAATGCACACACACTGCAGTAGGCCTGTGCGATTTGGCAAAAAAATTAAATCTCGATTTTTTTTCAGAACGTTTGACCGATTCTTGATTTTCTTTTACGATTTTTAACTGGTCAACTTAAAAATGCTAACCTTTTTCTTTATTAACCCTCTATTTTGTAGCATTTGGACCAATCAGACACACAATTGTTCAATCGATTTAACAAATCAATTATTCATTAGATTAACAAACAATCACAAACCCCCTCACCCAACACCAGATGCCTATATGTCTGTGAATGACGTCCAGGCCCCTGGGTACCATGGCAACCAGGACACCTCAGCCAGATCAGATAAACTTTACAACCTAAAAGTATGTCGAGAGAATCTTCCCTCCTACTTAATCCTCTCAAACAGACACATACTGCTATAGGAAATGACTTCTTACATTAATTAATAAGACACATTTTTCTATCATGCATATCCCCAGGTCATTGTGTATGATCACTACCTTCTTGTATATGGTTTTGTGTATTGTAAATGTTTTATGCATGCTTATGATAGATCAACCTCACAGTATTTACTTATTTCACGTATTTTCATGATCTAAATGAGAATGTATATTATATGCTGATACCTATGCAACACATTAGTATTATAAGAATCTTGAAGAATTGATTACATAATCTTTCGAACCTGTGCTACTAGTTAGACGATTCCTAATAAATATCCAGGGACAGCAAAAGCATGTAATTCTTCACGCATCTCAGCTCTACAGTGGCATTTCACTAACAGAGTAACAAAGACATGACAGGTTTTTTCGTGGGTCAGGTGATCTAATTGTACTCTTCCCTAATGTTAGGTTCCATTTGGCATAAAGTATAACTGTAACCCATAACAGCTTCCTGAAAACACGCAAGTATTTCCCTCTGAACACCAGCACTAGGCCAGTGTTCCTTTTTCTATTCGAATCGATCTGCGTCTTTGTCCATCGTCCTGCTTAATGAGCTGCTCCGAAAGCAGCTGTCCGCTAAAAGTCAAGCAACACTGTGAGACGAGTCCAGACGTGACACACCGTCAGCCCTCATGTTTACAGCTGCTCACCGCATCTCGTTTCGCACCAACAGCAAATGGATTGCGTGAAGCGAGCGCTCAAATGGAGCACCGCGTGATTTAGGCACATCCATCTAAGGGTGATTCCACTCAACCTGACGAGCCACTTACACGAACGTTCAATTCACATACACACACACACACGTATTTCTTCAGCTCTGAACTGGCATTTACTATTAAATGCAGCATTGCTGTTAATTCACAAGATCAAATGGCAGAGCGCCATTAAGGAATGTGATTGGAGAGGGTCGCTGCACGGGGGGGTGTTAAGTGATGAAGCCAATGACGCCGCAGCCCCTTTGAGTGCCGTAACCTTTTCTATTTCACAGCTGATCAGCGGCGACCTTTAGCAGCCAGTTAGATTCCTCCTCCAGCTCTAGCCTTTCACAGAAACACAGCAGCATGGCCATACGAGTCAGCAGGTATATGAAGAGCCCCACACCCCTATCAGGTGTCATTAGAGGGATATTAAACAAGATATAAACTAAAAATTAGGCCTGCGCCGATTTAGAGTATGTACACGGAAATGTACATTGTAAAAAACAAAAATGAGGTCAAATGTATTTCATTTGATAAAAGATTTTTAACCTGTCGCTATCTCCCTTATCTCATATGTAGCACGATATTTTGTTTAGATAACTTCCTATCATTGTATATTAGTGCGATTCCGTGGGGAATTATGTACTTGTATTTTTTGTATTTAATTTCTTCTTCTTCTTCCTGTATTTGTAAAAGATGCTCTGCTTTTGTTTTTAGGTTGACTTTTTAACATTCTGTCAAAGGTCTACACACGAAAAAAATACCCTTTTTGGCTAATTCTGGCATATTTACAGCCATGTTTATTCATGTGCATTGCCCCTGTAAACAAAAAAAAACTTCTTTCTTTTTTTTTTACTAGACTAGATTATCCAAAAATAGTAATTATGACATAATTATATAATATATAAAACTGTTTAATTTAACTCAGTTAACTGTTTAGAAATGAGTAAAACAAACAAACAAGAAACAAAAACAAATGAAAAGCATTAACATTTAAAAAACATGAAATCAATAATATTATAATGAAAAATACAAAGATAAAAGCTAATTTTATTTATTAAAGGGGTGGTTGACTGTTTTTTTTCAAGGTTTGATTGTGTTTATGGGGTGCAGTCTAACATGTGTTAATGCTTCGTTTAAAAAAAAAAAAACGCGTTATTTTTCACATAATTTACCTTTATTCCACACCGCTCTGTTCCTTCTCTGAAAAAATGCACTGATCTTTTCCTTCTTTTATGAAGCCCCTCCCTCAGGAATACGCAATGGGCTCTGATTGGTTAGCTAGCCCAGTGTGTTGTGATTGGCTAAACCGCTTCTAGTGCGCGTCTAAGCGTCCCGCCCCTCACCTCAGCGGCATGTGCTTTGGTTGTATTGTAAACAACGGCATTGTTAATATCGCTTATCAGTTTGAGCCCGATTGAGAAGCAGAGGATATTATTGAAGAGGATCGTGCAGAACCTGTGCAAGCACGGCTTTTAATGGTCGGCCTATGTTTTTTTGTTTGTTGTTGTCTCATACTTTTAGATACGCTGTTATTTGTAAATGCTACAGCTTATGTTAGCTTTTAATATACGGTTTTATCCTGATTAAAGCTTTAATACAGTACGGCAACTGCACGTGCGTCCATGTTTAACGCTTCTCATAGCTATGTGATAATAAGTGTATAATTGTGCTCAAACAGCAACATTACACACTAACTAACATTAAAAAAGTGAAATCGCAATCAACCACCCCTTTAATAAATAATAAAATATTATATAAATAATACTGAGATAATTATTTTAAAATGACTTGTGATTCATTTAACATATGAGATTTTGGAACTGAATAGGACCAGGTTACATTGTTATTGTTTATATGCACCAATATGAACGTTTTGGTGGAACCTGATTAATGTCGAAAAATTCTGCAGTATTTCTCTAAATGAATTAAAAATAAAGCACTAAAAACTAAAATCAATAGTTTTAAACTGAATTTCCTTTTTTTTTTTAATAATCAGAAAATTTATTTTGAGATTTGCTGAAGATTACAGTTTACAGTTTTTAATGCTCAACTAATTTAGAGCAAGATGATGGTCTAAACATAAAAGATGACATCTAAACATAAAAAAAAATTATATATCCAAATTGACTGAAATAAAATATGCATGATATATTTATACAAAAAAAGAAGAAAAAAAAAGAAAAACTGTAACACCAACAGATAATATGGGCCAACATCAAAAATACAACATTCTGGTGTCCAACTATGCTGGAAGCCACATAGGACAAAATCTTAAAACAGCTTCAGGAAAGACAGCTGCCGTGGATCAAATTAAAATACACACACATTATGGTCAATCAGCAAAAGGAAAAAAAAAAACACACTTTGATGCCGCCATTAAGAGAGCTGAGCATTTTAACCCTCATTTGCATAACCTTTCAAGTACTTCAGTGAGGTGATGTAATATTTGCATAAAGTTTACAGTCATTATTTTATTCACGAGTCCTCGCATGCTTAAGCCAAGACAAACGTCAGCTAAACCAGAGATATCCCAGCATACCTCTGTGCTCCCTGAGTGGATGGCTTTGTCCACGTTTAGCAGTGATTGATCCTCCGCTTGACACACAAAATTTGACCACAGCGCGCAGCTCTGATGAGCCCAGCACTGACCTGCAAACACAAGGAAGGAGCAAAGGGATCAGAAGATGGCATGGGATCTTTACAGGAAAATGTCATAATTTCTTTTCAACAGTTATTGGCAGAACAGCCATTCAATTTCATTTTACTGGACTAACAATTTCAGTTCCTCACCTCAAGTAAGTGTGATGTGTCTGACTACACTGTCTAGTTTCAGACTGTTTCCTGACAAACGTGTTTTTAACTTCTTTAAATCATCCTCTGAACAATCAGTGGAAAAAGTCATTTGAACATATCAAACTGGATTTCAACGGCTTGATAAGAGAGAAAAAAATGTGGTTTCTTTATAGAAATTGGACTTTCTTATATAATATCTTTTTTTCCTGTTATTACTTACAAGAAGCACTCTAAACTACAGTCTAGGCAACATCTTTTCTAAAGTTGGCTTTTCTCTGCCTGTGCTTCAGTAAAGTTTGCAACAAGTTTTTACCCGACTCATCAAAGAGTGTTCGGATGTCAATGTCGTCTGGCAGACCGACGTGGCGGAGCTCGTCCCAGAATCTGCCTCCTCCTTCCTCGGCCCCGACACTGCCGGACAGAGACAGATGGATTAGTTTTACACCATATCCTAACCAAGATTATCTGTTTGACTGACCAGTGGTGGACAGGGGTCAAACAAACCTAGATATCTTATTATCCCTAGATATCGTTTATTATCCAAACTGATTTTATTTCCCATCAAACGGTTCAAATTTACAACATTGGTGGCAACAAAAACAGCAGACGGGCTGAATTAAATGAAAATTCACTCTCTGACAGTAGGTGGCGCTTTTGGACAAGCAGAAATATAGCAGTTACCACAGTGAACCCTTTAAACAAAGCAGCACTATTTTATTAGGCATTATATGGAGATAACATGAGAAAAAAGTGTCAATGAAACCTTTCTAAGGTAAGTCAGTTCCCGTTCATTCATAATGTTTCCGCCCTCTAAACCGGTAAATACACTCCCACTCCTTGCTCATCTTACAAGGGGACGTTTCCCTGAGCCAGCGGCAAGTGACACTAAGAAAACTCTTGCATGCAATGTCTGGCTTTAAATAATTGTTTTACCGCATAAAAACATTAGAATGACAGTCGGCGCTGATAGCCTTGTGGGCAGCACACCGACATACAGTGCTATTGCGCTACAGACGTCCCGAGTTCGAATCCCGACGCGAGGATCTTTCCTGATCCCGCCCCTATCTCTCTGCCTCTTCACTTCCCCTCAGCTCTGATCTGTCCAATCATAATAAATGCATAATACATTTTTAAAAATCTTTAAAAAAAAACATACTACATTTCGACTAGTTGACTATTATTTCCAATGTCTAATGGAACTAGCAGCTGCTGTTCCATTTAGTCGACTAGTCAACTCCCTATTAAAACAGTCATTGTTTTTGCATTTCCATTTAGTGACCTTTAAAGGGGTCATAACATAAGAAATCAAACGTTCCTATCTTTTGGCAGTATAAAAAAGCATTTATGTAAATAAGCTCCCACAATGACCCTTGTTTGGATGTTGTGGGATCTGTGCTGTCATAAGGGCAAACACATTTGCATATGACTGCCTCCAGAGCAAGACATAAATATCAACAAATAGTGGCACCATAGGCTCCGCCCACTTGCATTGCATTAATCCCCAAAAAACCTAAACGGTCTCAATTATTTCTGAACAGTTTGACATAATACTGCTCAGGCCCCGCCCACGACTGCTGACGGATTGTCCCGTATTAACATATTCCCACCTTCAGCCAGTTGTGCGCTGTCCGCAATTTTCTCTGTACTCAAGCAGCTGTAGCGACAACAATGTCTTGTAAGCAATGCAGGTGTTTTGGATTTAAAAGCTTACATAAGAATCTTAATTTTTTCCCAACATCAGGGTCTCTGAAGATGCAGTGGATTAGTTTTGTTTTTATGGTAACGCGTCACCGAATACACAAAAAACAGAAGTGGGAGAGCAGTAGCTCATTAGCATTTAAAGAGACATGCACCGGAATGGCTCACTGTGAACAGAGCTGTTTTTTACAGGGTGTTGTTTTACACGGTCATTGAGGAATTTTAACCAAAGTATTTTGCAAACATTTCATGGAGACCCTAAAGAATCATACCAACTTGTGGAAAATGGGCATCCAATGTCCCCTTTAACAGGTTGACACCTGTTTACACCAGACACGAGCACTGCTTCGCATCACATCGAAACCATTACTATCACTGACATTGGCTACGTTTACACGCAACCAAATAATCCGTTTGTAATCGGATTGACGGCTCAATCGGACTGAAAAGCCTTCATGTAAACACCTTAATCGATCCGACTGAGCTCGATCGGAATTAAATTTCGATTGGATTGAAGGGGGTGGTTTATTCCTCTTCTAATACGATTGAGAGTGCATGTAAACACTTGAACACACGCAGAAATAGTGTAATGACGAATGACGCGCAGAACGAACGGCTCTTACAATATTAATTCTGCTGTTAAAAACAAATAAAGAAACAGTGTAGGAGAGTGGTTATTATGTGCAAACAGTGAGAAACTCTATATCTGTGCAGTGTGCGCATGTAAAAAAAAATCAACTTTATTTAGCATTCATGTAAACACTACATTCAGATTCATCAGTCGGAATGAATTCAGTCCGAGTGAACCAAAAATTGTGCATGCAAATATAGCATTTGTCTATACTAGATACAATATACAATTTCTGATGTATTTCATGCACTTGAGCTACTCCCGACTACAGGACAAATGGAAGAGTAAAGCAACATCCATTTTAAACAGCATGTTAGCATCTGTACAGCATTTTATGACAGTCTTTTATGACAGATTGTCTTGTAAATGAGGCAAAGTGTAAAGGAGAGTTTGCAAAGAAACTTTTGTTGAAAGATGTAGCAGCCAACTGTTTTATATCTGAGAGCAGCTACATCACAAAGCACAAGTAAACATTTTCATAATGATTTGTCTTTAGATGATGGGTTTTATATGAATAATGTTTTCAAAACACTTCCTTACATGCAATAATGAGGGGGTGTTAATACTGTTTCCCATGTAATTGTGTTAGCCAATCAGAACTGTGGCTGTTTTACTGACAAGCCTTAAGTGAGACACCCCCTAAAATGGATCATCTCAGACAGTGGGTCAGAATAAGAGTTGATTTATTTATTTTTTTGGCAAATATATAACTTTTTTTTTTGTAGAAATGACCCTTTTAATATACAGGTACGTCGACTGAAATTTTGGACAAATGAAATTTTGCTGTGGGCGGAGCTACTCGGCATGATTTGTCTAAAATAGAAACCAATAAGGCATCAATGTTTTATTGCTCTGTGCTTTTCACAGTCGTAAGTAGTTTGGACAAAAACTCGGTTTGTGCTTTGTTATGTAACGCCTGGTTAGGACAATATATTACAAGAGAATGTCAAAATTAACAAACCAAAGATGTTATTTATATTTAATTTAATGAAAAGATTATCCATTATATCAGAAGCAATAATGGAGTGTTTCTGTAATAATAATAATAGTGCGACCACACACATAAAACAAGTAACACAACATCAGAGATGTGATTTTCCAAAATATGTTTCCTTTGAATGTAGAACATTTACAGAACCTTTCAATGGTCTGGCACAGCTTATTCACAAAATATGCTACAATGTCAGTCTGCCAAATATCAAATTAGATCACCCAACTGCATCCAAGTCCAATTAATCCCTAAACAAACGGTCTCTGGCTGCTCTGCCGTTAAATTTATGCCACTAATAATGGAATAAGGAGCAGAAAACACTGAAATTGGTCATTGGTCTCTGCATCAGCTTTCATTAATTCATATATATAAATATTACAAAATATTTTTACTTACACCTAAAAATTCTACTAACACCTAAAAATGATTTGGCCAGATCAAGTCACCTGGATTATATACAAACAATAATATAACATAAAATATATGCTAACTGAAATAATAAAAAAAGAAAAACTTCAAATTAGAATTTTTAAATTTTACTTGGTGCACTAAAAGTAATAACTAAAACTGAAATAAAAATGTATAAACACTATAGACATATTTAAAAATAACAAATGACAAAAACACAACAAAATGACAAAAACTTTAACTAAAATTAACAAGAAAATGGTTAATTTTATTTAAAACCATAATGTTTTGATTTGTCATGTTTATGTTGCTGTGTTTAGTTATTCTGAATGGATCCGTGTGTACTGTAGTAGATATATGCAGTCAGCAGGCGGTTGGTTTAGGTTTTTTTGGCATCACCATGTGGTCCTGTTCGGTATCGCAACTTGACCTCTCTAAAACGTAAAAAAGCTATTTGCTGTTGCACTGTACACATACTATACAAATCAGATTTTTGTTTTTTTTTGCATTTTTTCCCCCTTTCATATGTGCTTATATGGGCTCCTTATATCATTTGGTTCTTTGGTGTCCTTTTGGAGTTACCTTTTGGAGTTTTGGAGTCCTTTTTTGGAAAGACATCTATATTTATCTTGAAAAAAGCTTGCAGAAAATACAGATTTTTGAGAATCACCCTTCAATCTTTTGGTTTACTTTGCTGAATATAGCAAATGATGAGAAAATAAACATTTGAAACAAGATAAATGGTCTATGCTTAATTTCATGAGGTGTGCGATTAATCATGATTAATCACAGAAAAAGGGTGTGATTAATTAGATAAAAAAATCTATTGACAGCCCTAATATATATATATATATATATATATATAAACCTATAATAGTATCTAAAATAATACCGATCCAAATTTACTTTATATAAAATAATTTATTATATTTGTATTCCTAATTGTTCCCTTTCAATTCTCCAAGAGCTTAATATTCTCTTAGCATGTTTCTTAGGTGGCTTGGTTAAAAAAAAAAACAGTAAAATTAAAAAATAAATAAAATAAATACTGTGTGTACATTTTAATGTAACATGCAAATAAATGTTAATTTAACATTTTTTGTAATGCCTATTAAATTATTTTTCATCCGTAAATTATCTTTAAATTGTGCATGTCTATAAATTCATCTACATTTAGGCTTTTTCACTAATTATATGAAATACGATTATATGATATACGATAGTGCGGTTGATTAAATCTTAATTAATAAGTTCATATCATGTACTTAATTCAATTAAAAAGTTTCCCAGCCCTAATTTCTATAGAGCACATACAGACTGAGAAGAGTGAGATGAATGTGCACATGCTGTCTAACTGCTGGCCCTCTATCATGAGCCACCGGCACCAGGAGAGTGTTAATTTATTCTTGACATTTAGGCACTGGAAGGGTTTGACTCACAGCCATTTTAATTTAGGTGTGGGGGG